TACCCTGGGGGGTAGGAAGGGAGGGGGGGTTCAAGATTTGAACAAACTTGAATATACACTACCTAAGGATGCTTCCATATCAATATGACTAATTATGGCTTTGTTGTTCTTGAGAAGAAGATTTTTTAAGATATTTCTTATATATATTCTTTTGTTAAACTTTGATCCCCATTATGGCCCCACCACTACTACTGGAGGATGCCTTGAACAAACTTGAATCTACAATACTTGGGGATGCTTCAATATCAAAATGACTAATCACGGCTTTCCTGTTCTTGAAAAGATTTTAAAAGATTTTTCCTATTTATTCCTATGTAAAACTTTGATCCCCCATTGTGGACCCACCCTACCCCCGGGGATCTTGATTTCAACAAATTTGAATCTACACTACCTAAGGATGATTCCATATCAATATGACTAATTGTGGCTTTGTTGTTCTTGAGAAGAAAATTTTTAAAGAATTTTCCTATATATTCCTATGTAAAACTTTGATCCCCCATTGTGGCTCCACCCTACCCCCGGGGGTCATGATTTGAACAAACTTGAATCTACATTACCTGAGGATGATTCCATATCAAAATGACTAATTGTGGCTTTGTTGTTCTTGAGAAGAAAATTTTTAAAGAATTTTCCTATATATTCCTATGTAAAACTTTGATCCCCCATTGTGGCCCCACCCTACCCCCGGGGGTCATGATTTGAACAAACTTGAATCTACACTACCTGAGGATGATTTCATATCAAAATGACTAATTGTGGCTTTGTTGTTCTTGAGAAGAAGATTTTAAAAGAATTTTCCTATGTATTCCTATGTAAAACTTTGATCCCCCATTGTGGCTCCATCCTACCCCCGGGGGTCATGATTTGAACAAACTTGAATCTACATTACCTGAGGATGATTCCATATCAAAATGACTAATTGTGGCTTTGTTGTTCTTGAGAAGAAGATTTTTAAAGAATTTTCCTATATATTCCTATGTAAAACTTTGATCCCCCATTGTGGCCCCATCCTACCCCCGGGGGTCATGATTTGAACAAACTTAAATCTACACTACCTGAGGATGATTTCATATCAATATGACTAATTGTGGCTTTGTTGTTCTTGAGAAGACAATTTTTAAAGAATTTTCCTATATATTCCTATGTAAAACTTTGATCCCCCATTGTGGCCCCACCCGACCCCTGGGGGTCATGATTTGAACAAACTTGAATTTACACTATGTAATGAAGGTTTCCCATAAGTTTCAACTTCTCTGGCCCAATGGTTCTTGAGAAGAAGATTTTTAAAAAAAGACACCAAATTTTCACTTATTCTTAATTATCTCCCCTTGGAAGAGGGCATGGCCCTTCATTTGAACAAACTTGAACCCCCTTCACCCAAGGATGCTTTGTGGCAAGTTTGGTTGAAAATGGCCCAGTGGTTCCGGAGAAGAAGTCGAAAATGTGAAAAGTTTACAGACGGACGGACGGACGGACAGACGAACAGACGGACTACGGACAAAATGTGATCAGAAAAGCTCACTTGAGCTTTCAGCTCAGGTGAGCTAAAAAGACAACAAATTTTCACTTATTCTTAATTATCTCCCCTTGGAAGAGGGCATGGCCCTTCATTTGAACAAACTTGAACCCCCTTCACCCAAGGATGCTTTGTGGCAAGTTTGGTTGAAAATGGCCCAGTGGTTCTGGAGAAGAAGTCGAAAATGTGAAAAGTTTACAGACGGACGGACGGACGGACAGACGGACTACGGACAAAATGTGATCAGAAAAGCTCACTTGAGCTTTCAGCTCAGGTGAGCTAAAAACGTATCACACCTATTTAAATAAACTCTACAAGAGGAGAGATGAGACTCCAACACAAAGAAATTGTATCCGTTTTCCGTTGATTGAACACATGTTTACAACTGACGGACACATCAACATTTAGGAAAATCATCAGTGTAGGGAATAGAACCACAACAATGAAATAAATTAATGTGTTAGAGTCCAGAAACAGGTGCTGAAGTGGGTGGGGGTATTTTTTTTTTTCCAAGATGACAGCTTTTGTCCCTTGTAGAGTTTATGTATATGTGTGATACATTTTTTTTTTAAAACATGGTATTTCTTGTCTGAAAGTGTCAGAATCTTTATTGTATCAACTTTTAAAGTGTATTTAGAGTAGATTCAATATTTTATTAATTTATTTTACATTTAACAACACGGAAGACAAGCCCCTATGCTGCGGATGGCCCCCGTGTCTTAAATCCTACTAAAATATGAACACAATGAAAATCGTATCACTTGCTAGCTCTTCCTGATTTTAATGAGGTACGCATGTCTAAGATATTCTATATATTACCAAATTGTTTCATGGCATATCTTCATTTAACTTACAATTCACCTAATGATATTATACTAGAATTCAGTTCTTAAGAAAAAGCTGTTTTACAATTATACACTGGGATCATAATACTTCTAGAGCAGCTTTCCCTTTTAAATGCTGAATGGATCTGGCTTCGGGGCCACCAACTTATAAAAATCTCAGCTCAAATCTCAAACTTAAATCTTAGATTTCTGCCTCACCTGAGATTTTCCTAAAACTTCGTGCCACCAACATTTCTGAGATTCGACTCACGTAAGCTGAGATTTGAGAAAAATCTTAGACTTATTCTCGTTGTTATATGCGACCTTTTTTCCTATATTGCACAGAGTTTTTGAATCAATAATTGAATTGTTGTTTATGCAATGTTTTGGTGTATAATGGCGAAAATACACATTCTCAACTTCCTTCGTCTTTTATTTGCTGTTTCGAGTCATTCAACGAAAAGGATTCCATTACGACCTTTGCAACAATAAATGTTTACCAAATCCCCGTACAAAAGTCCCTACAGAAGAATAACACAAAACCATATCCAAACTTTGCAGTCTTGGCTCGTCTGACGACATAAAAACACAAAAACGTACATCGAGGCGTCATTTCCGCCATTGTGACGTTAGTGTTGAAAGATTACGAAAAGTAGGTAGGCGGATCAAAACTATATTTCGCAGACCGATTTTTCTTTCTTTTGTTTTAAAATGTCAGATATATAAATTTACTTTTAATTCTCCGTAGGAAAAGAAAAATATTTCAGTTATAGGGACTTTTTGCATTTAGAATAAACCTGAGTGATTTTTTTCCCTAGCAGATTCAAAATTTTTTAAAAAAGTCAATAAATAGCTACATTCTTATACATGTATGCTGAAATAAATATCTTGAGTGTTTCGTAATTGTGCGTAAGTATGATAAGATGGACAGCGAACATATCCAGGAGCGGATAACATTTTACAGGATTGTTTATCAAGGAAATCTGAGAGGAATTTTTAATTGTCAGGAATTTCAGGTCACCCCCTGTGAGAAAATGTTACGGAAAGTCTTTGTATTTCTTTTTAAATATATATAATATAAATAAACAACGAATATAGCACCATTTGACCAATATTCATCGTTACACTTGAAAACCAAGTCAATCTCGCATACGCTCATCAATTGATCAGAAATTGAGTAATCACTTATTTCATATCGTAAATTATTATAAAAGTTTCACTGCGTAATGATGTAATATTTTTAACGTAACAACTACGGTCCATACTTGTTTTAACATTTAAAATGTGTTACTTGTACAAAAAAAAAAAAAAACCTGTTTGTTTAAAAAAATTCCATTCGGCCAAGTGCAGTTGAATATATGCAATTTTTGTTGTGATTTATACATGTACCTCAGAATGGTCATAAGTCAAGTTTATTCTTATAAATAATATAAACGGTCAAGAATATAAGTTTACGCACAATGCATTGTGAGTATATAAAGTCGATCCCCATTCTCAATTAAGAATTTTATAGATTTATTTAAGAACCAAATTAGACTGCTATCATCAGTGAAATAAATGGTGATTTATATATTATTTCGAAAGAACAAAATATTTGTTCATGGAATTTTAGACAGATTTCTTTAAATATCTGCGTATAATTTACACGAATAAGTATATTGTACGTCAAGTAAAATATAACTACCGGAGAAAAAAAACAAAGGAGGGGCTGGGTAGGTTTGACATTTTATCTAGTCATATTTCCTTTTCTGATATACATGGATATTGTAAATTACATGTAATAAATTTGCCATGGCACAAATAGCACTCTTAAATATGCATTTAATTAATTATTAATTAAATTAATTCCTCCTGAATGAATGAAGATATACATGTACATGTTATGTATAAAGTGTCACTAGAATATTCCTGTAAATTAATTCTTTCTTTTTTCTTTATTATCATTATCATTTTTTTTTCTTTTAGTAAAGTTTAAAGTGCTTGATTCCATGCATGGAAAATACTATAATAAGAATAATTACAAGTGCGTAATTAAGACACCCCCCCCTCCTCACGGGATGATCAAGTTTTGGTACAAATTAACATTCTTTCTGTGCTTGTAGGCCTATGTTAATTTCGTGTATTCATGGATTAAAATGTGCACTGTCATAACATTTGCATCATTTTACCATAAAATAATTCTGTGAGATTTTGTTTGAGACTGGTATACATTAAACTCAAGATTTTCTGAGAAATCTCAGAATTTTTTCTCAGCTGAGTCGAAAAAAACGTTGGTGGCACGCATGTATGAGAAAAATCTCAGACTTTAGGAAAAATCTCAGATTTGAGAAAAAACTCAAAAGATAGGTCTGAGTTTGAGAAAATATTTGTTTGGTGGCACAGATCAGTGAGAAAAACTCAAATTTTCTGAGAAATCTCAGATTTGAGAAAATCTCAGCGTTGGTGGCCCCGAAGCCTGATCTTACAATAATTGATTTAACCAGTAAACAATTATCTCTTAGACACAAAGCTATATTTACCGGGGAAAACCTCATACTAAACAAGCTTAATTGAAGCTTTCACTATCAAACTCCAGTTCCAGGTTTATTTGTATCTTATAATAAAATATAGCCCTATAAAATTACATACAGTTTATTAATTAAGCCATGAATGACCTTTACCTTCTGATCAAAGTCAACAGGTGTGAGATGAAAGTCATACAGAGGAACAAAGTACCCCTCAAGGAGCCCCATCAACAGAACGAGGTGGACGCCATCATGAAACTGTCAACAAAAAGAATACAGTTACCCTACATCACAACAAGAATAAAAGAGTTACATCCCTTTATGTCACATCTTACACATACATTTACTTTATAACAAATATGTACTAGGTGGTAAAATTTTAAATATTTTTTTGGAAAAGTTTATCTTGATTTATCATCATAGAAATTAGAAAGTACTGTATAACATATTTTAATTTCTATTTAATTTTACCTGAGATTCGATGTCAGTGACCTCTAAATTAATTTTCATTAATTGTTTGTTTACAAAAGTCACCAACGTCTGAAAAAAAAAATAAAACAATGTTTAACTCAGAAATTAGATTTAAATTTTACCACAAAATAAATGTTGGATATCAAGATATATCATAGATAATTAATACATATTCCCTTCTACATCACTGACACACTTTCTTAATCGAATACTGTGTGACTTATAAATGTCATTTCAGCAATATTGAGTGGACAAGACATGACTGATTACCTTTTTGACGAGATTCAGTTTGTCTGGAGCATGATCAAACAGTGTGTCAAAGGCATCTCTCTCTAAAAAGCCAAGGAGCTTAAAATGTATTATAAACTACGAGTACTCAAGCAGCATAAAGGTTTTCCTCTGTATAGAAACAGTTAATGATAAGGAAAATGATGAATTTTGATACTGTTTTACATGTATTGAAACAGACTTGAAAGGACAAGATAGACTAAGAACCCTTTTTGGCCCCAAGTTGGGGTGTCTCCAAGAATGATGCAACAGTTAATCAATAAAAACTTATTGTGCAGCTCTGTTAAGGCTGCATAAAGGGGGCGGGGCCTAATTTATACGGGAAAAATTTACCGTGACATCACACAAATATAGCAATTCCTCACAATAACAGAAAATGAAATAATGTGTGATTCTAAACCACATAAGAGTAATGAACTACATCAAAACTTACCACTGCATTCATTTTTATCCCTACTTAAACCCCACACAGCAAGGTATAAACAGGTCACTGATCGCAATGCACTTGTCGACATGACATCATCATTGTAAAATTTGACGCATTTTATGTGCAGTGAGAGGCAGATCAAGTAATTTTTTCACAGTGAAAAATGCTTTTTATTATTAAACAGAATATTATTAGCAAATCCTAGGTAAACCATTAATACAAATCTGAAACATTTGTTTAGTCTCATTATTTAAAAACTATCAAGAGAATGTATTGAATTAATTCTACCGTGTTTTTGTCTACAGGTTGTGCATGTTTCTCGCCGAGATGCCTCATTATATCGCCTTTTCGCAAGGGCATACACTTAATAGATCTTGACCATTTTTTGAATATACATAACGGACACATTCCATAACTTGAAAAGTGCTGCTACTTTCCTGAAATCGAGAGCATAACTTAATAAATACTAAAATACTTGGTAAAGGTCACACAACTTCGGCATAAGCCAGTTAACTTGAAATTCAAACTTATAAAATGCGAATTCTATTTAAAGCAGCAGCACTTTCCATAAACTGCAAGTAATGTAGAAACAATTTATTACTTAAATTTTTAATTTTAACTAGGATATGCCCTTGTGAAATTGAAATTTGTTTGTGACCTACATACAGTACACATTATATGCATTTATCACATAACTGTCAAATTACGTGACCAAACCAAATTCAGTACAGAGCGGCGTATACAATGTTATTTCAAATAATATTTAAAGTCATGTGATGATATAGTACCTTTACAAAAATAAATTCAGTTTAAAAAGATATGTATTAATGCACGTTTATATATTGTTGATTTCTTCAAAGTACACCTTAACAATGCTGCATGTCATCCTTTCATCCCGGTTACAAAATAATTATTGATTCTAATTCATGGGATACACAAAGGTCACAGGAAGGTCACAAAATATGCCAGTTTCCCAATTTTCTAATCTGTTTGCAAAGTTCCATAAATTTCACAGCACATTTGGTTTTAGAAAACACAGAGCACAAGCTTGCCTATCTACCCTATTTATATATTTCATGCACTAGTTTAAGATGCATCTTGTGTATAAAAATCACAGATAGGCAAGCTTGAGCTTCATGATTTCCAAGTGAAAAGTATCTCAAATTTGATGAAAATCCATCAGAATTGAGGAAATTTGGTAAAATGTCCTACTTGGGCACCCTCTTGTGGCCTCCATGTATGCTTTGAATCAAAGTTAGTGCTGGTTTTAAAACAAGCAACTGCAAGCTATCAAAATTTTAACTGTGTTTTGATTTTCATATCAATTAAGGGGCCAAATTGCAACTGGGTCATTACCATACCTTCTCCTTGATAGACCTGTATAACTGTAAACCTCAATCTACAGTTAAAATAAACAGAATAAAGAAGAGAGGAAAAGACTCACCAAATCTAGCTCCAATGTCTCTGAAAGAGAGAACAATAGATACATGTATACAGTAAAATGTTCACTTGTATGTGTGCACACTACTTTCGTGCAATGCCCAAAAAGCTGAAATACTTTTCTTTTCATCAAAATTAGAAAATAGTACTAAACTTTATTACAGATATACAAGTAGTTTACTCATCTTTACTGCAGTCTTAGGAAAAATGTGAGGGTAATAAGAATAATTTGCTTCCCTTTGTATTGGTCATTCAATATATTGTGAGAAAAATGACAAAGCAATAAATCTTACAGTGATCAATCAGAAAAAAATGATTTAAATCAGTCTTATAAAAAATGAAATTGAAAATACAAGTCAGGAAAATGAAATCATGAATTACCATATATTCCTTACACAAAATTTTGGAAGAGTTAATAATGATGATGCAATGTGGACAGATTAACTTTAAAAAGTATGACACAATTTATATGGGTTAAGAAGCAAGGCAAGCACATAGAATAAAAAGTATGTTTTTTTTTTTTTTTTTGGGGGGGGGGGGGGGCTGTGCACTCCCACATTTGATCAAGACTGTTTTTGCATGAAAATTCCCCAAGCATGATTTTGACTCTCGTGTATGACTAGACATTCTGAAGACTTACTCGTTAACAGTTGTGATGTCTTCAGCAACCCTACGTGGTTGTAACATTCCATCTCTTTTCTGTTCAATTCAAAAATAACATTACTTGGACATCATTTCAATACACAACAGGATACAAAATTCTGCAAAAACTAAATCTAAAATACTGTGAAACACCCTAGTCCTCTCAGTTGTATTGCCATTCAGGTAACTTTAAAAAATGGAAATACAATGTTATTTTTCCACATTTTGTTTGAATACTACAAACAGTTCCTTTATTTACCGTGACAACAACTAGGTTCACAGAAACATTTTCTGGCAATCTGATTGGTGCTCGGAAATGTCTTGCCAAGGCAACTAGCAGATGAAGAATGGCCACCAGGTTTTTCGAGTGAACACCTAAAACAATAAAAGTCATCTGTTCTAAAATTCTCAGAAACAGGTACATTTTATGCACAATTCATATGCTACACAAATTAAATAACTTCAATAACAAAATATGAATCAGTATGATTTTCAAACAAACTTTACCTAAGATTGAGTAATTGTTATCTTTACTAAAAAAAACTAGATGCTGTAGAAAATCATCATTTTTAGACCCCAATTTGCCCCAGGGTGAAAATGAAAATCCTAAAACATTGCACATCTACAGAACACAATCAATCATAATCCATATCTGACTAGTGGATAAATGGGTGGATTCTATAAATAACTTACTATCTACACTCCATTTACTCTGGGTCCAGGGAGGACTCTGATGTAGAATTCTGTTGATGACTGTTAAGATGATCTGTAGTTTTTGTTTCTGACCCTGCTCAGACTGTGTGACCTCTGGAACTTCAACCCTTAACCCTGCCAGTTTCTCTGCAAAGGGAGAAAACTCCTGAGTTCAATGATACCTAAGAACTTTGAAGAACGAATTGAGATAGAAATTGATCAGTATTTAGGTAAAAGCACCAATTACACATCTATGTGGCAGCCAAAAATGTTTGCTTTTATTGTAAACTTTTCATTCTATTCTCAGTATTAAAATACAGAGAGTGTAATAATCAGGGAGTGTAATAATCAGGGAGTGTAACATACAGGGAGTGTAATAAGCAGAGAGTGTAATAAGCAGGGAGTGTAATATACAGGGAGTGTAATATACAGGGAGTGTAATAAGCAGGGAGTGTAATATGCAGGGAATGTAATATGTGGGAGTGTAATAAGCAGGGAGTGTAATATACAGGGAATGTAAAATGCAGAATTCTTTTACTCATTGTACAGAGCATCCTTCCTGACATTATGTCAGTCTGGGTGAGTCTTGCCTGCTGTCTGATATAAATCAATATTCTGGAACTTTCTATTTTGCTGGGTTTTGTATTTGAAGTAGATAAATCCTTGACTTTAATTTATCCTGAGCTTCCTTAATTAATACTTACCAATCAACTTCTGAAGAATTTGACCATCAAACAAATCTTCCTCAATGTCCTTAACGATGATCCGGTCATCAGCAAGAACATCATTGATCCAGTCCAGCAACATCTACAATGTATAAAGATTAATTCAGTCCAGCAACATCTACAATGTATAAAGATTAATCCAGTCCAGCAACATCTACAATGTATAAAGATTAATCCAGTCCAGCAACAACTACAATGTATAAAGATTGATCCAGTCCAGCAACAACTACAATGTATAAAGATTGATCCAGTCCAGCAACATCTGCAGTATATAAAAATCAACAATCAAATGAAGATCCAGTCATCAACCAGAACATCACTGATCCATTCTAGCAACATCCACCATGTATAAAGATCTTCAGTCAACCATTATTGTGCAGAAAGTTAAGCATTCTTGTGCATAAATATCTACAAAGTTCAAAACATTCCAGCAATATCTAACATGTTTAAAGATAATTATTATAACATTAGAGTCCAGAAACAACACAATATACAGCAAATAGATCTTATATCCACAAAGATCCATCACGACAATAAGACAGACAGCTCCTGAAGAGAAACATTAACATCTAAAACTTGATGAAACAGATGTTTTAAACCTTAATCTTGTCAAGATTTACTTTAATCAAACATGCTCTACCGGGAGCCCTCATCAAACTTTCTTATTATAAATTTACATTTATCTACAGCCTTAAAGGGAACTCATTTACTTTTACCTTTATCAATTCTTTAACTTTGGGATCATCTCTGGACTTTTATGTTTACCTTTATCGGTTCTTTAACTTTGGGATCATCTTTGGACTTTTACCTTTATCAGTTCTTTAACTTTGGGATCATCTCTGGACTTTTATGCTTACCATTATCAGTTCTTTAACTTTGGGATCATCTCTGGAGTTTTACCTTTATCAGTTCTTTAACTTTGGGATCATATCTGGACTTTTATGTTTACCTTTATCAGTTCTTTAACTTTGGGATCATCTCTGGAGTTTTACCTTTATCAGTTCTTTAACTTTGGGATCACCTCTGGACTTTTATGTTTACCTTTATCAGCTCTTTAACTTTGGGATCATCTCTGGACTGTGGTTCAATCATTGATCTCTCTTCATTTTCATCTAAAATAGAGTGATTTCAAATTTAAGTCATTGCCTAAAATAATAGCTTGCAACAGATATCTAAAATGTTCTGATATCTCTAGATTCATATGTTCAGATCTGTTCAAACTTCAATTTGTAGCTAAAGGATTTAGACCTCTCTTACTCAGTCTATAGGTGCCTGGGGCTAGAGGGAGACTACCCAGTGTGTATCCCTCAGTTCCAATGTCTGGGACTGTAGGGCTGGTGGATGACTACTTACCTTGTCTGTATCCCTTGGGTCCAATGTCAGGGACTGTAGGGCTGGTGGGAGGGTACTTACCCAGTGTGTATCCCTTGGGTCCAATGTCAGGGACTGTGGGGCTGGTGGGAGGGTACTTACCCAGTGTGTATCCCTCAGGTCCAATGTCAGGGACTGTAGGGCTGGTGGGAGGGTACATACCCAGTGTGTATCCCTTGGGTCGAATGTCGGGGACTGTGGAGCTGGTGGGAGGGTACTTACCCAGTGTGTATCCCTTGGGTCCAATGTCAGGGACTGTGGGGCTGGTGGGAGGGTACTTACCCAGTGTATATCCCTCGGGTCCAATGTCGGGGACTGTGGGGCTGGTGGGAGGGTACTTACCCAGTGTGTATCCCTCGGGTCCAATGTCGGGGACTGTGGAGCTGGTGGGAGGGTACTTACCCAGTGTGTATCCCTCGGGTCCAATGTCGGGGACTGTGGGGCTGGTGGGACCGTGGGAGGGTACTTACCCAGTGTATATCCCTCGGGTCCAATGTCGGGGACTGTGGGGCTGGTGGGACCATGGGAGGGTACTTACCCAAAGTGTATCCCTCAGGTCCAATGTCGGGGACTGTGGGGCTGGTTGGAGACTCAATTGCATGTTTTCCCTCCTCCTGAAGCTCACTCACTGAAATAAAATATAATAAAACTGTAAATAAAAATTGACCACATAGTTTTAATTTAAAAGCCTAAAACTAAGATGAATGCAGCAATTAAAACTATCTTAATCAAATTGGTTTCAAGAGAAAGAAAGAACAATATAGAGGAGAGTGAGAGTGAGATGAGGAAAAATGACAGATTGTTAAACAGTTGATTAGATTCAGGGTCAAATCCTCTTATGAGGTATCAAGCATAGGTATCTAGTAGAAAAGAATTTAAAATTATCCTGCTAATGTTAAGTATTTCACAACAATCAGGTGTGATGATGCCCACAAGGCCCTGCACTTTAAAAAGAGAAAGAAGATGTAGTCACACACTTAAATTACAGAATCCAGCAACATGGGTGACCCACACCCTCACTAGCTTTTTTCAATATTTAGTAAAGAAATTCCAATCTTAAATGCAGAAATACTGACATAAAGTAATGTTATTTACATTATTTGTTGTTTGTAATTTACATTTAATTTTCCTACTATACAGTATTTGTATTCACTCAAGTCATTTGATACATATAAGTGTTTTTTGAAAACATAGCTAGCCTCAGTGAATCCTAATACAGGATTCGACAGTAACGGTAACCCGCTAGCCCTGGACAACTGAAAATTAAGGTCAGGCTACTAAACATGTCTTCAAGCTTGCCCGGCAGGGTTACTGAAATTTTTTATCAAACACTTACTCAGAGCAATTGTAAAGATTTATAATTTTAAAAAGTACAAGTTTCGATTTTGTTACAGTCATGTAGAGTATTCCAAATCACCCCGCGTTTCGCTATTCTCTGTAATTTACCTTATCACTGTACCTAGCACGACACTTCCACATATGTGACAACCAACCAGGTTTTTTTTAAAGCATATACTTTTCAGATACAAAAAAAAGAAGAGGTAAACATGCTTTAATTAAAAGGTTAACAATTTAATTCATTAACTTGTTATCTTTATTTAAGAGACACCCCTTTTGAAAACATTGCATGCATGGTTTTCATCATAGATGTCGTAGCATCAATTGCTGCATTTGTAGCCCCCTTACAATTTGGGTAATTTCCAATCACATGTGTACATGACCGCAGTCGAACAAATATTGCACACGTTGCACACTAAGTAATTAACTTAATATCAACACGAAAAATCAAAAAGTAAATGATTTTTTTTTTATTTTGGGAGACTTTTTGTAAACAATACCAAATAAATAATTAATCAATTATATAAGTGTTTTCTTGTCGTTTTCTACCTGTTCTCTTGGTGATTCAAAATACCCAGAAGTGACCCGCAATACACTAAAAAGGTGAGTAAATATAACTGCCCTTCAGGTCATTGAATCAAAGATGGACTTGCTGTGTAATGGAGATACCTGGCTTTCCTTTAACACCAAATAACCAGTTATAAACTTGTTAATCTAATTCTTTGCAGTCAAAATGTAAAAGGTGATGTAGAATATTCTAATTGACTATACATATGGAATTTTTCAAATAGTAAAACGCCTTAGATACAGTCATGAAGTGACATATAATTTTACCCAAAAATACAGCCAGAATGCAGGATTTGGCATCTCTATTTTCAAAATTTTCTGGGGGAGGCCCCCCTACCCCCACCAGCAGGAGGGGGAAACCCCCTCTCGCACCTACCCCCCTCGCTGCTTCCCGACTTGGCCAGCAGCCTTTGGCTGCTGGATAACTAATTCATGAACAGGGCTAGTGGAAATTAGAAATTGCTGGCTCGCTGGCTTCTATGGTTTTAAAGTTAGTGTCGATCCCTGTAACAGGTCTAGGAAAATCACTATATTTAGCTATATAGCTAAATCTACCTATATAGCTTTATTTACCTATATAATATAGCTTTATTTAGCTATTTCAGAGTAAATTTCTGTTTTATGAAAAGCAGACAAAAAGTCGCATAATGAAATGAAATGGACTGAAAACAATTCACCAAAAACCCACTTTTAAAAATGTTTATCCTATTGTGCAATTGCAATCAAAGATCTAAAAGTTTTGGGGCTATGTATAACAGTTAATCTGTGAATAAGCAGCTACTTTAACAAAGAAAAGCAGTTTTGGTCAACAAGATAATTGATTGGTAATAATTCAGCACATTGCAAGGCAATCACACTTAGTCATGCCTCATCACACTTCCAGTAATGGACAGCTATCCAAACAATAGAGATGCATTTTTTGGTTAAAAAGTGTTTAAAAGAGGCAATGTTTTTACTATCGATGCCCTAGGTTGTTTTTATCAAACCTTTTTTAAAAAATATCAGCCATAATTTTCATGCGACTTTTTGTTTGATTTTCATAAAACAGAAACTTATTCTAAAATAGCTAAATAAAGCTATATTATATAGGTAAATAATGCTATATAGCTAAATATAGTGATTTTCCTGGACCTGTGTAATACACATGATAAACTAATCTAGTCTTTTTAATAATCTTGGAAAATTTAGCAGCAAATAATCAATTATCCTGCCAATATTTGGTTTTTCATACCTATCAAAGAACCGAAATACACATATGCATTAATCAAACATGAGTTTTGGCCTTATTTGGAAAACATTTCAGGAAACTAGATGTAAACAAATCTTGAACTTTGATTTTAATTACGTTTCCAAAACAATTATAATACTAATATAAACAAACAAACGACTTTAGGACCTTCTTTTGCTTTCTTCTTCCTGGCCAGAGTTCCTCCTAACTTATCTAGAAACGACTCCTCCTTCTTTTTTGGAGTCAGAGTACTATTTGGAGAGGTAGCCATTTTTCGTTTCCGGTTTACCTCTGGAGCAACTAATTACAGAAGTGGTCTCAAAGGAGAATGAACTGTTTACCATTTGCGATTGACTAAATTACTTTGAATTAAATATCGATATCTGAAATTTAATTATATAAAACTCAGAGAATTGCAAAAGGTTACAAAAATAAACGATTCTATATTAACAAAAATATTAAAATATTATTGTACGGTAGGAAAATTAATTCCCGGATTTAATTTCCCAAAAAAATTTTTTTTTTGCTTAAAGATAAATGCAGATATATTTTTTATCAATCAGTATTCAACAAATTATTTATCTAAACAAAAAATTTAACTATAATCATTAACCGGTTTACCCACAGGAAGTTGTTTAAGAGGAACACAAAAGTTCAAAGGTCAATTTCGTCTGCTACAGGAAGTGAGGAAAGAGCACCTGCTTTTACGTAAATCAGCTGATTTTGTCCGGTTACACAGTCGTGCAGGTGGGATTTTCTTTTCATTAAGTATAATGAATTCTTAAGAAAAAAAGTTTTTAAGTATTTTTGAGCATGTCGATAGTTATTCATAAATACGCAGATTCCACTGTAGTTTAAACGTTAAGGTCATCATAAATTGAATCAACCCAAGATGTTATCGCCAATATAACATACTGTCAAAAAGTTCGATCGCCACATTTTCGCATGGAATTTTCAGTTTAATACAAGTACAGTAGTCAAAAAAAAAAAAAAATCTGGATATGTCAGAATTAATTTTTATTTAAAGCATTTTCCAGTTTCATTTGCTTTATTCTCTGAAACCTGCAGGTAAAATATGCCACCTGGAAATTACACATAGAGCCCAGTTTAATCTTTTTTTCTTTTTTTTTAAATAAAATGCGTACTCCGTGCATGTGTATTCATCCAAGTTTGTTATTTTTTAAAAAGAAACACATACTGTACATTTCTTGCCATGGTCTCGTTATCTAGACTGACGTCTTTCTATGCTTTCGTTATTTACTATAAAACATTTGAAAATTTCGATCATTTACTGTCATCACACGTGCACAGGTAAAAAATTAAGCTGTGTATATTGAACCGTATCTAATCCCGTTAGTCCAGATATGCCTAAATTCACACGTGTATCAACAGTTTGCTGTCTTATACAGTAGGTCTACAACAATGAACCAGTTTTATTCAGCAGATAACCAGAATTTCATGTGCAGTCGGCTTTTCTTCTAGATCCTCGATAAAAAAGTTTGAGTTTGACAAGAAAACAAGGTGGGGGGGGGGGGGGGGATAGCACCCGCAATGGGCAAATTATTCATTATCAAAGTTTTTGAGAACATGCATGGCTGCATATTATTTATTTTCTAGATAAGTGAAAACGGACTATTTAATTGTAACATTTTGACATATTTATTTCGGAAATCTTTCTTTGCAGTCAATATATATTGTAAACATTTATACATTGTAGATGGAATTGAAGCTGTCTTTACCGTTTTCTTGATTGTAACTTCCCTTTAAAAAGCGTTTTTACACATTGATGGAAAATTTATGTTTAAAGGAAAACAATTACGCGCACAAAAATTAAGTAATATTTTGCACTAATTGTGTGCACTTCTACCGATTACTTTTCAATGTATTTTTCCTAGTGAGCAAATAAATAAGAAAATAATAACTTATTTTTTAATTGTTTGTTTGATCATTCGGTCAAGAGAAAAAATGTTTTTTGTTTGTTTGTTTGTTTGTTTGGTTTTTTTTTATTTTAATGAAGCTACAGCGACAAGAACGTAAAAAGAATGGTAGACGAAATGAAAGCACGAAGGATTTATAAAATCAAACTCATTTGTTTAAAAGTGTGATAAGTGAATATTTAAAATAATAATTGTATTCAATTAGGAAAATGAAAAAGGAAAATAAACATATTTAGGCTTATTCTTTAAAAAAAAAAAAGAAAATACAGAAAGGCCTTTATGGCGACGCAACCAAAATATTTTTTTTTCATCCTTGTTATGCAGTGTTTGTTGATATGTTCGATTTATTTCCAAGTTATTGAACCATAAGGCAATGGTGTACGAAATAAGATAATAAATAGACAACTAAAATTATTTTTTTTTTAAAATTGAAAGTAGTTCATACAGAAAGTAAATTAAAAAAAAAAGATACAGTTAATAAGACATCTAGTTAATGTAATAACGAAAATACAGCTGTAAAAAGGAAATATTTATAACAGCTTTAACTTAAAAAAAAATTATCAAAAATGCTTGCGATACCGTCCTTCCATTTATATAAAATAAAGAGATTATAATAAAGAAATAAACGGCTTTATGAAGTAGCCAATTATAATTCGAATAGGTAATACAGTACAATTCGTTTTTTATCATACCGGTTTTATATCATACTTTTTTTGTCATAGATATTTGAAACACAAAACCATTTCTTAATAATTCATTATATATTCAGAAGCTGAATAGATGATATCACTTATTCGAATAGGTGATATCACCAATTGAATAGGTGATATCACCTATTCCAATAGGCAATATCACTTTTTGGCAGTTAATACCAAAACGGCGCCTCATAGCAAAGTCATGGTAAAATACTTTTCAAGTATATGTTTAATCATATAAAAGACTACGAATTATTATCAAAAAACCAATATGGGATTCAACCTGGTGACTCTACTGTAAATCAACTAGTTGAAATATATGATAAAATTATTTCAAATCTTGATAAAGGCCGGGAAGTTAGATTTATATTCTGTAATACATGTATTTCAAGGGCCTTTGACAGGGTTTGGCATAAAGGACTTATCTTTAAACTTGAGAAAAATAGGCTTCCAAAATAATATTTTGGGCTGGATTAAAGATTATCTAACTGACAGGCAACAAAAAGTAAATATTGAAGGTTTTTCATCAACATTTAAAACTGTTGATGCGGGAGTACCTCAGGGATCTGTGCTAGGCCCATTTTTATTCTTAATATACATTAATGATATACAGTAACCGAAGACATACATGATGGTATTCGTTTATTTGCGGAAACATCATTGTTTGCTATAATAGGCGCCGATATTTTTACTCCTACATTATCTCTTACAGCCGATCTTGAAAAAATAAAGAAATGGTCCAACTCTTGGGCTGTAGATTTTAAAGATTTTAATTTTACAAGAAAGCAGCGACTTTTTCCAGACATTTTGGAGGAAATGGGGACATTATTGAACAATCCAGTAGCTATATACATCTAGGGCTTCAACTGCAGTCCGATGGTAGTTGGAACTAGATATCATTGAGATGGTGGCCATCTCAAAGGGCCCCGCTTTCAGCAATGAACATAAAAATGTAAGGTAGCTGAAAAGGGTTTATTTTGAAGAGGACCATTTGTGTACTATTAAGGGATGTGTTGTTTGAGTCTAAAGGGCTTCCATGTCATCCTTTTTATAATAAAAAATGGCACGAAAATCACGAGTGCTCCATACCCTCTATCAAAAAAACGGCACAAAAATTACGAATGTTGCACATCCTCTATCAAAATATGGAAGGAAAATCACAAATGTTTCGTACCCTAAGTTAATTGGTAAAGTTTGAGGCTGACTGGACTTAAGGGAAAGAAATTATGCACCAAACAAAAATTTTGAACAGAGAGGCTATTTTTGACCTTGACCCTTGACCTAGAAACTTAGTTCAAGGTCACTGCACATCCATTGACCAGTGGCACTCTGTGAGTGAAGTATGAGCCACCAGGGATGGGCACGATTACTGAAAAAATGTAATCGATTAATAATCGATTACTTAGAGGAATTTTGTGTAATCGATTATTAATCGATTACACTCATTTTTGTCCTGTAATCGATTGTAATCGATTACTTTGGAAGATGTAATCGATTAATAATCGATTACTTCCAAGTTTTTATCCCTTCAAATATCAAAGCAATATTTAAATGGTAAATGTTGATGTTATCCACTGAAGTTTGAATGTATTCCTGCAGTTTCAGTGCAGATTCTTTTAAGGTTTTATTCTGGCTAACATTCTCACTAAATGCCCAAATGAGGGATTTTCTACCATGGAAAGTGGAGACATGATTCCTACAATAAAATATGCCAAGGAATTAATTATTCCTTTCAACCTTAGATCTGTACCTCCATATTTATTGACTTGTTGAAAAAATTATTTAATATTTTAATGTGAATTACCTCATTAGAAGTATTTGGGCTGTCCGTATGTTGATTGTACACATTAAACATTCCTGTACGTGTCTTTTTCAAAAAAAATAAGTAAATTAGAACGAACTCTTAGTAATTAACATGTAAATTAAATGTGTCTTTAAGTAATTTAACTAATACATGTAACACAGTTTCATTCTGTATTGAAATAAGTGTTTTGAGAGCTATTAATTCTTTTAATAATATTGTTTGTCTTCAATGGAATGATAGTTAAACACAAAGTAGTTCACAGTTTACACCTTATTATCTGCAATCAGGGATATGTCTCAGTCAATTAATTAGCCAATTAAGATAAGCAAACACAGTGACACTTACTCCCTCTCTTACAGGCACTTATAACCCCTCACTGATATAAAAGCAACCTTACAATTTTGAATGAAAACATGAGAATGATTTTGCAAATTTTAAAGTTACTAAAACACAAGTTTGAAGTTGTTTAAACATTTTCAGATGTGAATAAGTATTTCCATCTCTTTTTTTTTTTTTGAGTACTATGTAGTTTATTTAGAAAATTATTTATATTTAATACAGCAATTAAATCTGTTTTTGCTATTTATAATTTTCTATTACAAGACAAAGTTTTTCAACATCTGAAATATGAAAAAGGACATGCAGCAAGAGGACAGTGGGTCAAATGTAAAATGCACACGAAAAATCTGTATATTTTATTAATAAATGGTTGATGAAATACACTTCTGAATTATTTAATACTAGACCAGTAGGTCTATAATGCAAATTTTATTGAGAACATTATTAAACTAATAAACTTATGATAAGAAAAGTTAGGAATCCAAACATTACACTAGGTGGTTTATATTTGATATTTATGTGTGATTGACTGGAATTAATTCTCCAAAATAACATCCATTTATGTATAAAATAATCGAAAATAATCGAAAAAGTAATTATAATTACATTGAAAATTTTAGCTGCAATCGATTAAATTACGATTACAAGTAATCGAAAATCTCTTCGATTACAGATTACTGTCGATTACTTGAAAAACAGTAATCATTACAATCGATTACGATTACTCGATTACGATTACCCCATCCCTGTGAGCCACATTGGACTAAGCGGAGAGAAGATATGGTCCGGACAAGGATTTTCATATAATTCTGCTATGACCTTAACCTTTGACCTAGAAACACTGATGCTCATAACTAATTCAAAATAATTATTTTCCCGAATATTTTCATGTAGAATAGTTAAACCACACTTAGATTATCTATTTCAAATGAAACCGGCATCAAAATCCACTTTTTACTGGTTTTACAGGCG